CGATGAATTTGGATAACTATAGACCTACAACTGAACCATTCACTTTATCATCACACACATAAAAAAAAAATCAATTTTAGTTATAACAAAAGAAATCAAATATTGATATGTAGTTTTAATTATGTTTGTTCTATCTCTTTTTGTTGATATTTTTTTATGTTACACACATATATCATGAAAAAATGTTGTTGCTGAATATAACCAATTTTATTTGTGTCACAAATTTCATCTGATGTTTGTTGCCAAATCATGTAGCTTTAGTTTACCATTTCTAATATGCCGAATCATTATTATTATCCTTAAAGTAAAACAAATATTGATATATATGTAGCTTTAATTGTAATTGTTCTATCACTTTTTGTTGATTTTTTTTATGTTACATAAATGTATTATGAAAAGAGGTGTTGAATATAACTAATTTCATTTCTTTAACAAATATCAACTGATGTTTGATGCCGAGCCATGTAGCTTTAGTAAACCATTCATTTTATCATCATACATATTTCGGTTTCCACTGCACAATTAGTAGTAAATTGACCATAACTTAACCAATAAAAATCAAATTGATTAGAGGTTTACATATTTAGAAACTAGACATATAGGGCTTTAATTTGATATATTATACGCTTAATTTGGATAACTGTAGCTCTACTACCAAACCATTCCTTTTATCATCACATACATTTTGGTTTCCATTGAATAATCAATAGTAAACTAACCATAACTTTCTCAATAAAAGTCCAATTGATGAGAGGTTTGAATCTTTAGAAACTAGACATATAGGGCTTTAATTTAATATATATATGTTTAATTTGGATAACTATAGCCCGACTTCCAAACCATTCCCTTTATCATCACACACATTTCGGTTTCCACTAAACAATCAATAGTAAATTGATCATAACTTGCTCAATAAAAATTCACTTGATGAGACGTTTGAATATTTAGAAACTAGATAGACAAGGCTTTAATTTGATATACTATACACTTAATTTGGATAACTATAGCCCCACTGTCGAACCATTCTTTTTATCATCACACATATTTTGGTTTCCCCTATTTCTCGATTTTCACTAAACAGTAAGTAGTAAATTAGCCATAACTTGCTCAATAAAAATCTAATTGATGAGCAGTTTGAATCTTTGGAAACTAGACAGATATAGCTTTAATTTTATATATTATGTGATGAATTTTGATAACTATAAACTTGCTGCCGAACCATTTATTTTATCATCACACAAAAAACAAATTCAATTTTAGTGATGAGAAAACCATTCATTTTTATCATCACACACATTTTGGTTTCCCCTATTTCTCGGGTTTCACTGAACAGTCAGTAATAAATGGGTCATACCTTTCTCAATAAATATCCACTCTAATTTTCATTAGTTTCACCAATATATGATAATATTTCTATCAAATTAAATGCATTAGAAAGTAGACTCATAAAATCATGCGACTCATTATTTTGGCTGTTGAATTGTAAGAAGTCATCCAAACAATGTCGAACCATTATTCAATATTTTGTCTAATATTTATGTTAGGTGAATGCACACGCCGAACCATGCCGTTTCATTAATATGTAATTTTAGCAAGTCATCAACCGAACCATAACTTACAATGAATCACTATAATAAGCCTTTGCAGAACATAGGTTTCACTACATTTGTAAAAGATAAAATGTATGTTTGATTTCAATAAAATTTTGAAGAATCATCAATATGAGTAAAATATATTGGATAGGTTCTCTAATTTTCATAAGTTTCACCAATATATGAAAAAATTATTTAAAGTTAACTATTATTGTTCTATAGAATTGTAATAAACCATGTATCGAAATTTAATTTATCCATGGTTATAATAGGTACGTTAGTTCACAGTTTGATTGTCGATCCACATATTTCTCCATTACTGATTTCTGATATACCAGATTTCAAACCATAAATTCGAGTGAATAATTGTGTTAAGCTATTGTCGAAGTATAATTTATATATTATCGTTATGTATTCTTACTTTTGTAGTTATGCCGAACCATACTTCATAATATATTAATGTAATAAGCCTCTGTCGAATGTAGGTTTCACTTCAACTGTAAAAGATAAAATGTCTGTTTGATTTCCAAACCTTATTGTAGAATTATCAATGTGTATTATTTGGAACCATTGTAATATACCGAACCATTGTTATTATCTTTAAAATATCCACCATTTAATTCCAGTTATTCAAACAAACGTGGTGTCAAAACCAATTTCATAAGCAACCCGTGCAACGTATCGGCCTTTCAACTAGTTTTTTAACTAAAGAGGACCCACTTTTTAAGATACTCTTTTTCAAGGTTTTGAAATTTAACTTTTTTCTTATTACACTCCATAAATTCCATGAAGATCCTTTATTCCATTTTTTTTCAATTTCTTTTAAATTAAAAGTTCAAAATAATTAAAACAAAAACAATTAATACAAATATTTAGCCCATTGATAGAATACAACTAAATAATACAAACAACTATTAAGATTAAAATCACTACCAACAATTTGAAAAATAAAATAAAATCATATTGACTAAGACTAATAAAAAATATGAATTCAAGAAGCAGTAAGAAAAAAAAAAAAAAAACATTTTTATGTTACTAGAAGTATAAGAAACAATTCTACCGAAAAAGAAAATAATATAATTAACTTAAGTCTTTAAAGTTTTCTTTCCAACTGATTTATCATTAAAGATACAACTTGAATTAGAAAATAATAATAATAATTTGAGAAGGAATAAAAAACTTATAACTTTATATTAATTTCACCAGATATATCCTAGTGCAAAATATATTCCTTCCTTGAACTAACTTTTAGTTCTAAAAAATATTTCGAATTCGTCCAAAGGTAGCGTATTGAGGGGGTTGCTTGTTCTGTTTCTGTCTCTATTCTTTTCTAATACAATTACCGGATTTACCCAAAAAAAAAAAAAAAAGTTCCTTTTAACTGCTGCTGTTAGAAGGATAGTAGAGTAATATTTTTTTTTTCTTTTTTACTTCATTTGCTATAGGTATAAATAAACTCTAACAGTTGCTTAATTCTTCCATTATAGGTATGGAAGGCTTATCTAGTAGCCGACCCACGTTGGTTGACTCAACTTCATCGATTCAAACCCCAAACTTGTCTAACCTTCATGCCACAACTAATACGGATGCAAGTGTAAGTGCAACTTGTGGTACTAGTCCACTTGTTGAAGAAGAAAATGATGATAAGACATTCCAAAGGAAGAAAATAGCGAAGACATCTCCTATATGGACAAAATTTAGAGAGGTTGTTCAACCTGACAATACGAAGAAGGTATAAAGCATCCATTGTAAGTCCAAACTGTCCATTACTACAACTAGAAGCACTACTCAATTTTCAAGACATTTGAAGGGGTGTGTAAGGTGAATGGTTTTTCAGAGGCAACAACAACAACAGATAAATTTTCCACCTTCACATTTAATTGAGGGAGGAAGTACGATACCTCCTCTTGTAGGTGGCAAGTTTGAGATGGCTTGGATAAGGGAGCTAGAAGCGCAACGGGTGCTTATGCATGAGCACCCATTCACAGTTGTGGAGCAAGAGGGTTTTAATAATATGCTAAAGTATGGGATTCCAAGTTGGGAAAGAATATCGTGCTTCACAAGTAATAATGATTGTCAAAGGGTGTGTGAATTGGAAAAGAAAAGGTTGAAGGTTGTTTTGAGGAGTGTTTATAGAATTAGTTTGACTACCAATTTGTGGAATTCAAGTAATAAAAAACTTGAGTACATGGTTTTGACGGGGAATTGGATAAACAGTAATTGGAGGTTGAACAAACGTGTGCTCAGTTTTTGTTCGTTTACTGCCTCCTCGCGGTGGTGTCCAGATTGCTAGTTGAAAAGTTTGTACCCTAATTAATAATATCCCTGATTCCAAGCTATGTGACACCTTTTCCTCCTCGATTTTCAATTTGTGGATCACTTACCTTTACTTAATTCAAAGTTTGGGATACTACAAAGTTTTTTTATATTTTAATTTTTTTTTTCATGAAATGTTCTATATCTATATTTTAATTAATGTTTTGCTCACTAAACCCCTATAGTTTTCAACTACTTCTAAAGCATCCACCAATATTAGAAATAGGAGGCTAGCCTCTATTCTGTTAGTTTTGTCTGCTAAGGTTAACAAAAGTTAAGGTATAGCTATAATTTTAAACTTTTAAGAAAGGTATTTCAGACTTTCACCTTTCAAAGAAACCCTAATTTGATTCTTTTTGAATTATATCCATAATGTCTTTTCTAACACAACTTATTTTTCTCTTTTAAGAAGGGCATATTGCCACTTTCCCAAAGCCTAGCAAGGCCTAACCTACCTCGTGCCACTTTCACAATGGTCAAAGAGGCCTAACCTAGCCTCATGCCGCTTTCTCAACAGCTTAGGAGGTCTAATTAGGCCTTGTACCGCTAGTGAGGTGTTCAATAAGGCCTCGTGCCACAGATGATGCAATTAACGAGGCTTGATTTGGTTTTATGCTGCTCTAGTATCGTTATTGGTTTTTACGTTTATAGAGGAGTTGACGGGTAGAAGGTGAAGAGGTTTTAGGGTTAGAAGGGTAGAAATGTCATTTTCTTTTATAACAAATTGTTATTAACGATTTATAAAGTAATGGGGTTAGCCTCTTATATTTGATACTAGTGGTTGTGTTTGGAATTTCTGAAAACTATGGGGGTTTTGTATAAGAGCCCTTTTAACTCATACTTAAATTAATTAAAATTTACACAAAGGTTAAGTTTAAATTTTTAAAAACACTGTAATAGTTTTCTCATATTTCCAATTTTTTATATTTAGTATGACTCCTAATTTATTTCTTAATAATTTTTTTTTTTTCAATTTCAAAATAAATATAAAACGTGGAGTTATTGTTAATTAACACATTTGAGCATTCTTTATTGTCGTGTTCTGTTTAAAAAGAAAAAGAAAGAATTGGAATGTTTAGACTTCCATTTTGGTAGCCCACGTTAAGAAAAGTAGAAAACTACAAAGAGCCAAAAGCTAACAACTCGTCACCACCACCTCTTCTTCTCTTTATCCAAGCAAGAAAAAATAAAATGGCAGCTGAGAGGATAACAGCATCCTGTTCTTCCTCAATATACCATCTCAATTCTCAAAGGAGGCATGTCCCTCTCTCTTCTCCTGCTCGCTTTCTGGGTCGCCCTTTACGACCTTCTCATTTCTTGGGAAGCACTTCCACTCCTTTGTCTTCCAAGTTCTTCAATTCACGCCACACTAACAGAAGAAACTTCTCTGTCTTTGCTATGGCAGCTATTGGTATATATATCCTTATCTTTCCCTTACTCTTGTTTTATTAATTTCTTTTATAACTGAATTTCCATTAATTTAGGTGTACCCTTTATCTAGATTGTTGAAATGTTAATTTTTTTAATTTGGTTTGCTCATGTATCGCTATTTTATTTCATTGTCTTAGTTTTTTTATTCAGCATAAATTGTAATTTTATTGAAAGGATATTTTTGAATAATCAGGTTGCATACAATGCAATTGTGTGATTTCTCCGTAAAATAATAATGTTGTTTTGTGTTTATCCTAGAGAAATATTTCTAAGAAATAATAAGTTTTATCAATAAAAATTATGGATAAATTATGGCTTCCTTGCTTCTTAGTTCTCTCCCTTTTCATATTTTCTCTTAAAGTTTATTCATGAAATTGTATCAAATGAAACTTGAGTGTAAACTATATATGTTTTTTTTCCAATTGGGTTTCAAAAACCACTTAATATATGTAGAATAAGTAGTAGGCATCCTTGCTTAGGAGAACCTTGGAATCTTATTATTGATCATGTATGGCGTCATTACAATCCAATGGCCACTCTCTCAATAGGCATCGCACCGGCCACCACCTCTACAATTAGCACCATCCGGAAGATCCAAAGACCTTCCTTTTCCAGGCTCAGAATCTCCTGCATTGGATGGGTAACAATTTTAATAAATAAATAGAAATTTATCTTTCTTTTAAGGGATTTTTTATCATTTATACAATTTGAACACTAATTGTTTTTGAAGGACCCAGAAGGCATTTTGGGGCCGGCCCAGACGGGCCATATTGCAAGATTAGAGTTTAAAAGACGACTTGAGAAGGATGTTGAGGCACGAGAGGCCTTTGAACAACATGTTCGTGAAGAAACCGAGCGTCGTAGAGCTCTTCGCCAAGTAAATTTTGAATCTTTGTATATATAATTTATAGTTAAATAACATTGGTTTTTTTGTGAATGTTATATTATTTTTGCTGGATGATGGGATTGTTTTAGTCTCGGGCTATACCGGATACTTCAGCGGAGTTGATAGAGTATTTTCTTGACACTGAAGCTCAAGAGATTGAGTATGAAATAGCGAGGCTTAGGCCACGGTTAGTTCTATGTTTTATTTTATGTTAACATGAAGAGAATATTATATTTTAAAAAATGCGTACCACTTGATTTATATTTGGCTTCTTCCAAGAAGATTGCTGTTTATTTGTAAAGAGAATTCTCTCTGACTAGGTTTTTGGGCTTAATTTTACTTCCTTTTTAATAAGCTGGGTTTTTTTATTCTTTCACTCTTTGGTTTGATATTTTTTTTTCCTTTATTGGTTTCTTCTTCCCAATTTTTTGTTGGGACTTCCTTTCTTGGGATTGAGTTACCTTTTGGTACTTTCTCCTCCGTGGAAATCGTTTGCCCGTGGGGTTTCTCTCTTTGGAGAGAGGGGGTCATATAACTTTAGCAAATCCCTTATCATCCACTGTGGTGGGAGTGGATACAGAACAGAAGATTAAGGCGATTACTTTACTACTTTCTTGGCCTTTTATTATGCTTTTTGTCCTAATCAGCTATCTTCTTCTACACTAGGACGTGACACTATTTGTGTTTCGCATGATGAAGATTTATATCAACAGCAAATTTGTTGCAAAACTAATTTGATTGGCTGTTTACTTCTGCAAAAGGATTCGTAACCTTTAAAATTGGAGAATCTTAACTTGTATCTGCAAAACCTTTAGGTCCCTAAGTCTATGTGAAAGTGATTCCCATGTTTATTTTTAAACACCCAACTCTTTAAATTCATAGGGAAAAATTAGGCTATGAGTGTTTGCAGAGAGTAACTACTTTTGTATGTCATTTGATTAGTCTAACAATACATGCAAACTAGTTTCCTCATTGACCCTGATCTCGACACTGAATTTGTTGGTGAGAGCAGACTTGTGAGCCACTATTGCCCTTCTGACCGTTGGAAAAAAGCGATGGCTGTGGCAACTTTACTGAAAAAACCATTTCCAGTAAATTCTATAAAAGTATGGACAAGGACACCATTACCTCGAGAATGTGAATCTGACTTGCCTGTGACTTCCCTTCTTTTGTTTCCACCTTATTTAATATGTTATCCTCTTTGTGGCATCACTATTTTTATCGTCTCAATGAATGGGATGTGTTTTACTTCACAACTTGATGTTTTTCCTTTAGTAATGCAATTGTAACATATGAATTTTGCAGATTGAACCAGGAGTTTTTCTCACACCTGCAATTTGAAGTAGGTCAACTTCGCTTTGCTGTTTCAAAAACTGAGGTTCATTCTTCAACTATGTATTTCATGGGAAAAAAAATAACTTCTTTATAGCGGATGAACATACAGCTAACCAATCATAGGGTGCCGCGTCAGCCTATATGACATGCACTCACCTCATAATAAGTTGATTGTATGATACATCTGTTGTATGGAAACTTTGCTCGTATTTGAAATGATGTTATAGCATAATTACATAGAACTATGATATGAAACCACTGATGGATCTTGTAGGATATTGAAGACAGATTGATTGAGCTGGAAACATTACAGAAGGCTCTACAAGAAGGAACAGGTTTTTTTTTTTTTCTTTTTCTTTTTCCTTTTAGTTTGTTTTAGTCTTGACCGTGGTGCTGAAGGATTCAGAAATTTTTTTATTCACAACTGATGCTCAACTGTTGGCTCTTTTCTTGGTTTACAGAAGCCTATGACAAAATGCAGTCTGACCTTATAACAGCAAAAAAAAGTCTATCTAAAATCTTGACTTCAAAGGATGTGAAAGCAACTGTATGTCTTTACTTTTTTTTGTTAACTCATCAAGCCTCCATATTTGATACATTTTTTTTATTTTGTACGATTTGCTATTCATCAGGGTTGACTTTATGTTCTTATGCAGTTACTGGAAATGGTTGAACATAATGAAATCAATAGATCCTTATTGACACTTCTAGATGAAAACATAGCAAATGCACAAAAGGGTGACCAGGTTAGTATTGTTGGAAATATTTTCTTCTATCTTCTTGTGAAATCTGTCATGTTTTGATTTTATAATGTTGATATGGAGTATAGGAGTGCCAAGGTCCCCCTATACTAAGTAGCAACATAACAAAATCAAAGAACAGAGAGTAAAGGATAACATAGAGTTTTTTCTTTTTGGAAGTGAGGGAACAAACACGTGATGTAACTTATTAGAACACCTTTTTTCCATTGATTATGTTTGCAAAGAATGGAATTGAACCCTTTCACAGTATACTTTAGCACTGCCCACCAATGTATAGATAATCACATAAATGTAATTAGATAGATTAATATGTTCCCCAACTTGATCACTAATTCATATGTCAAATTTGAATTGAGTTCTACCCTTTATGTTGATTTTCAGCTTGTTTCTTCTTGTTGATGTCTAACATCTTGAACTAGTATGATGTCATCATCCATATGATATAAATTATGAGAAATTACTCCACTGTGAGTCTTTGACTTATCTTTCATATAAAGTTTGAGCCTGTAGACTTGATCTGACTTTTATTTCTCTAGATTGTCATCATGGTAAATTTGAACTTTATAATCACATTCTCATTTTGAACCTCGTTCTCATATCCGGCAGGTGAAACTGAAAGTTTATTCTATTAATTATCATATCATTGAGTTGATAATGACTTCATCCATCAATCTAAAAGTTTTAAGAGTGCATTCTTCAAATTTCAATCTAACTTCATTATAGACAAGTAGTGTAACCCTTTGCCGCTTTTCGTCATGCCCTTAAGAGTCATTTTTTCAGTCAAGCTTTTAGGTGACACCAAAGTTTATGATAGTCATTGTTTCTGGTGCACACATTTATTTTTCATCACTATTCACATCTTCCACCAACTAATAGGAATTTCAACTAGTGACCTAGAATTATCCAGACATACAGTTATTTTCTGTAAATGAGTGTTGAGTGTCCCATGGACGACTGGATTTATACACATGTCAACATTGTAGAGTTCACCTCCCTTTGTTCCCCTTAAAACTATTCCTCATTGCTTGATTGTATCATGAGACACACTCTTCGCTGTCATCTACTCTGACATGTAATTAGGGTTTTTGCTAATAAACAAGGAGCCGTATTTTTTATCATTTTTGGGTAAAATACATCCAGTTACCTTCCAAGTACATTGATTGAAAGTTCTAATTTGATAACCTAAGTTTTCTTTTTATCTCCTTCAATGTTACATTCACTTGAGTAGTCATGTTGCACGTGGATTGCCTTAGTGTTATGCCTTGATAGCCGCTATACATAAAGAATCAGGAAAATTAATGTTTGTGTAAGCATCTGACTATATTTTATGTGCTTTATCTGGCAAATAACTTCAAAATTAGAAAGCAATAAGATTAGTTTCTATGCATAGTATGTTAGTAATTACTAATGAATAATAGTTCATAAATTGCTACTTTTGACTTGGAGAATAACTCATGAATTTCATATGTTTGATTCCTTACTTGCAGAAACAAGTGGCAGTGTTCATGGAAAAGGTCCGTGCAGCTGTTCTCAAGTACATGACAGTTTAGTAATTCTACTGTCATTCCTTATATTGAATTCTTTATAAGTCTGGGATTTGAGCAATAACTCCATTCCTAACTACATTAGCTAGATTAAGAAAAACAGGAGCAAAGCAAGATGGAGTCTTGCATAAATATATGGTAGCAAAAAACAAACAAACTATATATAGATGCAATGACATTGTTTTGTACCGTAAGAGAGACTTAACGCACAGATATTAGAACAATTTGTTATAGAATCATATATATGCCATGACATCTAAGTGATATAGTTTAAAAGAATGGAATAGACTACATTAAAAAGACTACCCTTGTTGGAACACTTATCATTTATATCTATCCTAGAAAGTGGAAAGCACTTGAAAACATGATGTTAAAAAATGAGTACTAAAGTGAAATGACAAAATCACAATTTGTGCATGAAGGGGCACAAAGAAAATGTTAGTGTGAGCATGTCATGTCAATGTTAACTAATTGAACTAAAGTCTAGTGATTTTGTGGCCAATAAAGATTGGCTTACAACTCAATCTCACGAATTTTTTTTTACAATTTTGACGTGATAGCTTGTAATTGGTTAGACAAAAAAATTCTATCAGAAACTGATTGTAAATTGTAACGTCGAAGGTGTGTGAGAAAGTTTATGAGATTGAGTTGTAATTACAGTTACTTTTTTGTGTCATACTTGAAATTGTCAATATATTTTATTAAAATTCTGGTAAGGCCACAAATGAACAAAATATTTATTATATCGATATATTGCAAACTGTGTTCTTTTATTTTCATGTAAATGAAGTGTACAAAAGAATTAAATTTTTTGTTTGTTTACCTTAAGACAACTCATTAAATATCAGTATAGATATTTCCTAAGAAAAAGTGGCAATATGTGAGATTTGAAAAGCACACATAACAAGGATAATTTTTTAATTGAAATGACCTTCGAATTTTGATTATCTGCATCTATTGGTATATTTAGTGCGACCTTTAGGTAATGGTCCCAGGTAGCAAGTGCTAAAGCAGCTCAACGTCCTAATTAGGAGTGAGCATAAGTAGCGGATAGAATTAAAACCTGTAGGTATAATCAAAATTGAAACCGAAACCTATCCTAAATTGATACTGTGCCAGTAGGTTTTGATTCCATTTTATTGGAACCGCATTGTGCGGTTTCTGTTCTGGTTCTTACATGTGGAGGAATCGGAATCAGAATCGAAACCTGAAAAAAGAACCTGCAGCAGGTACCCGGCTTGGAACTTGCTTGGAACCTGTAGTAGGTATCCGGTTTGGAACCTGTTTGGAACCGATGACGAGTACCCGGATTAAAACTTGTTTTGGAACCCGGGCTGAAATAAAATATTTGTGAAGAATGGGGGTCTCTTGTAATTTTACATATAAAAAAATTTAAAATGGAAAAAATTAAATTTTTACAATAACCTAATTAAACAAATATATAATTATACTTATTACATATAAACAACACTATAAAAAAAGCTTTAATATATAAATATTAAAGTTTTAATTAATTAATTGTATGATTGGAATTAGGATCTAATTAAATGTGTTTTAATGTTATTAAAAGAATTATTTTTGAATAAAATAGTATATTTGATTGAATAATAATATAATATTTATTTGTTTACTTCAATTACCAAGTTTTAAGTATATCTATAGTAAATTAGTAATTAATTAATTATATATGATAAATTAATAAATACTAATACATTACTAGTTAAATGATTACTTAATCAATTATAATATTACGTTATAGTTAAATAATTATTTAATTAATTATAAGTTTATAACATTATATTAGTAATATAGTACATTACTTAATTAAATAATTATAAACTTAATTAATTATAACATTACATTATAAACAAATGATTAATTAATTAATTATAACATTCCATTATAAATATTATTACAATACTTAATTAAATAATTAGAAAATTAATTAATTATAATATTACATTAAAAATTTATAGTATGATTACTTAATCTATTATAACATTACATTATAATATGATCACATAATTAATTATAACATTACATAATTAAATGATTACTTAATTAATTATGACATTATATTAATAATTTATTACATTAGTACAATATTTAATTAAATTATTAGAAATTTAATTAATTATAATACTAAATTATAGATTTATAGAATGATTACTTAATTCATTGTGACATTATATTATAAATATTAATACATTACATAATTAAATGATTAAAAAATTAATTAATTATAACATTATATTATAGATCTATAGTATGATTACTTAATTAATTATAATATTACGTTATAAACATTAGTACAATACTTTTATTAAATGATTAGAAATTTAATTAATTATAACATTATATTATAATTACTTAATTATTTAATTAATTACAACATTAGTACATTACATTATAAACATTAATAATTTATAACATTAAATTTACTACATTAGTATTTAGTACATTATAAATACCCAATTATATCATTAAATTTATAAACATTTATAATTTATTAAACATTAGTTATCAAATAGACCTTGTTCAATGTTAGTGTAAAACAATAGGAGGTATCTTGTAAATTTACATTTACAAACACAAAGCAAAATACCCAATTCGATTAGGGCAAATTGAATTGGTATTATCTCAATATCTCTTGATTCTTTTCTTCTCTGTTCCCTCTGTCGTCTTCCTCTCCTATGTTTTCTGGAACTTCAACTGTTAATTCTCTGAGGGATACTACTCAGATTGAAGGTGCGTGATATGAAACTAATCAACTATCTTAATATTATTCTGTCTCTTTGGCGTTATTATGTTGTAGTCCATATTTCTCTCTTTCCTTTTATTCTTTTGGTTCAGTTGCCTTTGTGGTGTGCTTGTGCTTGTGGGGCTTCTCTTTTGGCCCCTCAAAACAATGGTAATAAAAAAAGATTAGTGATTTGTGAACTGGGTTTCATTTCTTTGAAACAATTTCTCAAAATTATAATTTATAACCTCTTACTATAATCCACAGATATGTAATGCACAATGTTATGTATGATTGTATTTTATAAATTTTTATATAACTAGACAAAACAAATTGCATCAGCTTGCAAGCTTGCGACTAATGCAATTTGCAATAGGGGGTGTACTTGTAAATTTTTAAAGAATTTTTGTCTTTTTTTTAATTAATAGGGGGGTAATTAATTTTTTACAAGATAGCCAAGTTAAGTTCCGGTTCCTTGAATTTAAGAACCTGCACTGTGCTGTTTCGGTTCCCCAAAAAAATACAGGATACCCGGAACCGCTCACCCCTAATCCCAATCCCCTCTTTAATGACAAGTATTGGTTTCCTGGGTCCACATCCCTTGTTAGTATCGAAACTAACGAATTGCCTCTACGAACATCAGAAACTACAATTTACATCCTCTGTCATTAGTTTAAGATGTTAACTTTAACATTAGTGAGGGTAAATTAGACATTTCACCTATCAAATTTTTTTAAATCAAATCTGAAAAAATAATATCCTGAAAAAATAATATCCTAAAAATACATAATAGAAAATGAAAACAATAGATAATTTAAAAAACTAAAATTATACATATAATTTAATAAAAAATTAAAAACGTAGAAAAGTTGATTTGGGAAGTATTTAAATTTTAAAAAAATTCAAACAATAAAGAATACATAAAACTTAAAAAACATTAAGAAATTTTTATAAAATTAAAAAAAAAAAAAAAACCCTTACTTTGAAAAATTTAGAAATTTTAGAGAAAAAAAATTGCTACCAATGCCCAAGCCATCGGCCAAGCCAAGTGTAGGTCAACGTTGGCCAAGCATGGCTCGATTTGGCCAAGCGTGGCCAATTGGCATCATGTCTGGCCTGGAATGGCCAGATCAGTGGCCAGCCGACATGGCTCGACCTAACTATGCCAGGCCAAAATGGTGCAACACTAGTCATGGCCAGTACGAGTTTTCCTAGCTCGACCTTGGCCAAATCCAAGCCAATGTTAAACCTGTGCATAGCCACTGGTGGCCCTTTTTATTTTTATTTTTTGATTTTTTATTTGGAGTTCTTAATTTTTCATAAATTCTTTGAAATCTCTTCTGTTTTTTTTTTTTTTTAAATATTCTAAGTTTGTTTATCTTTCTTAAAGTTATATACAGTAATATCAATATGCATACCGTCAATTTATTTTTATTTTTAACCCCTGGGAAGGAACAAGCTACCAAAATCAAATCAGAGCCCAACGTCAATTTTTAGCCCATTAAGCTTATTAATATTCACACTACTCTACTCCCGTATGAATTCAGATCACTTATTCTGTCACTCAAAAATTTTTACTTTATTTTTAGTATTTAAGAAATTCAATTTTGTCATCGTACATGCGTGTGAAGGGTGCAAATCGTTTGGTTATTATTACTTGTAAATAATTTGAAATGGTTATTGAAAACCTTATTTGTCAAAAAAAAAAAAATATCATATTAGCAAGATCTACAAATCTCCAAAAATAATGACACTCAAATTCAATTACATATCTAACGATATCCTTATCTATTTGTTTATCAAATTATGGGGTTTGTAATATTCATAATCATAAATCGAGTTACAGTGACGCCCTAACAAGGTTGTGTGTTTGACGAGAAAAAATATACATTATTAAATAATGTGATCATCAAAGTACCTTTAAGGCTCTTATTTCTTTGGAAGAGTCTCTGGCCGGCGCTTAATCAATTGATTTATACAATTGTGGAGTGTAAAATAATTTCATCAACTACTATATGCATTAGATTTTAGGCACGTTTTTAATGTACACATGGCGTGCAATATCAAGCATTGGCAGGAAGTGAAAGCAATTCTCATCTTTAATATTTAAACTGCATTGATTTTTTAATCATTGCTATAATGGATCCATCAATGGCATCATTGTAAGTGGCAAACTGACATGGAAATATAAAGTGGACATGACTTTTTGATCATTTAAAGGCTCGTGCACTTTTTTTCCTTGTAATTGTTGGCTCTAATCAACAAAAATCAGCAACCACAAAGCTTAACTTTTTTTCTATAAATTGAGAGCCTTTCCCATGCCATGCCCATATATCAAAATTATAACCAGCTAGCTTCCACAAAGAGAGATGGAGACATCATACTTTTCCAATCCAATTTCAACTCTGATCGTCCTTGGTCTACTCAGATTGCTGAGCTAAAACAGCACCGAATTCATCAAGACTTCCTGTGATGCCC